TGCTAATTGTTAAAATATTTATAAACAATTTAAAAATATTGTTTAAGGTGGGTATGGGATAATCACATTGAAAAATCAATTTTTCTGAGAATTTTTCATATAAAAATACAACTTCTTAGAAATATTTTCCCAAAACCTCAGGTCATTTGAAGTAAAACTCATTAAGATAATGAGCTATGCACTGCGCCCCTTTTGAACCGGCCGAGAGCGGCAGGCAGGTAGCCGGAGCAGCTGCTTCCTTGCCCTTCAAATTTTATTGCCTTTGTAAATTGTTGTCCTTTGTAAGTGTCATGACAGAACGCGAGCCTACGTCAAAAAAATACGTAGCAATCGCTGACCTCGTGTCATCACCCCTTCGCTGTTGCCGCTGCTGGAAGCGCGTCTTTCATTTACGTACTTCAACATGAGACGTACATAGTTTTTGATTTTTTTCGCATTGACGCACCAAACCTAAAAATCTGAAAAAATTCATGAACAATTCTTGCGGCAATAAGAATCTATCATAAAAATATGGACAGTGTATCCGAACGATTTCTATGTGAACAAAAATATGTTTAGCACCTTCTTATTTTTCACGGTTACATTTTGTAACAAAAAAATCTGAAATAATTCTCAGATGTGTCCAGTTATGCTACGGACGTGTTGGAATTTTTTCAGATGAATAAACAACAAAGAAAAAAAGAGTGGATTGTCTGGGTTTCGAACACACGGAGCCTCGAAGACTCCGAGTCTCGAAGCGTCGAAGATTCCGAGCCTCGAGGAGTGAATTTAGAATTCGCTTGCCTGACAGTCAGCACGCACACACGCACGTACTGCGTCACTCGACACGCGCCCCTTCTTTTAGGAGATGCACGAAGCCGGCCGCGAGATGGAGCGCTTGTAGACGAATACCCTAGGCACGAGCATGGCAAATCTTATACGTATATTTTCAGCTCTCTTCGGCGTGTCCACTTCTGGAGGGGAGTAGTGCACAATCCCTTCTAAACTACGTCTATTTCCCCTTAAATAATGGACATTGACACTAGGGTGCGGTAGTGAGCCGTGTCCACTTTCGAACAAAGAAATGAGCAATCTCCCTTTTCATCTCTGATAATATTATCGAGCGATCGAAAGATTTGTGAGATTTTAGTTTGGGGTCACGGCACCATCGAAAGTAGTAGCTGCGTCCCTGAGCGCGCGCTCTACGGACGCTGTCATTGGTCAATGTTTTTTGTTAAAAATTCAGAAACCACGACGTAAACAGCATTTTAGGAAAATGAAATATTGTTTAAAATCACTTGGGACACATCCCACTTTTCGATATAGTAATAGCTCTGTAATACATATTGTATATGTATAAATAACTCATATTTATAACTATAAATTATATATTCATTTTTCATAATAAAAAAATTATAACAATTTTTTGAAAATTGTGCAGAGCACTCAAGGTATCCAATTTTATTGAAACTTGCATTGTGTTGATCCTGAATCATCGGCGATGCGCGGAAAAACTTGTTATATCTTATCACTGAGTCATAGGATATTCGAGTGATTGTACATTGATCTAATCAGTTCTCGCTCGCGTTACAAAAGCTCGAAGGATTGTAAAAGCTATACAGAAAACGCAGTTACACGTCCACGTTATAGAGAAAGGAAAGCGAGAGAAGACGGAAGGAAAAAGGAGTCACGGGATAAATAGTGGAGAGCCCACTGACTTGGCACAGGGGTAGAGACCAAGCCGGAGTTATTATAAATGTGAGTTTGAAAATAATAAAGAAAAATAGAAAAAGAAGGAGAAAGAGTAGAAAAATAAAATAAATAATATAATAAGATAAGCTAAATAAATTGTCTCTATTATATTACAAATAGATAAGATAGGATTAAGGATTAGGAAATAAGGAATTGAATAAGGAAAGGAGGAACGTAGAGGAAGTAAACCAAGTACGAGAAAGTAAATGGATCCTAGAGAAAAGAAATAGGCGGAAAATTAAACGAGAAACATCTCTGATTTATGTTACATAGGAGCAGATCCGTGACCTAGGAATAAGGAACATCCTCGAAAAGGAGGGTAGAAATAGAAAAGAATCGAGAAGGAACAACCGGAATCAGAACCATGGAATCCGCGGGAACCAGTAGACGGATAAAAAGAAATATCGTGGCGGTGCTGCCACGCAATTATCCGACGGACCAAATGACATCGCAGGACATCCCTTCCTATCTGAAGGCCATACGGCGAATAATCAAGAGAGTGGTTGAGCAGCAAATAGACACGTCCCCCGAATTCCTCAATCATGAAATAAAGAACGGCGGCTTGATTGTTACGTGTGCCACCGACTACGACGAGCAGTGGCTCAGTAGACATATCAACAATGTACGATTCAAATATAGACTCAAGGTAGACAGTCCGATCGCTTTGGAAAATAAATTTCTAATAGACGGCGAAGTTACCAACTTAGAAAATACTAGAAAGAATATTTTGAATAAAATCGGCGCTTACAACCCTGACATCGTATTAACAGGTTGGAAAATTGTTAATGAAGAAATGAACTACGTAAAAATGACGAGAATTATCACATTTGAGATGGCTGACCGATCGATTAAATGTTTGAGACGACTAAAATATAGACTTCGCCTAGACGAATACGGGGTTGACGGAATTATCTTTGGCTTAGCTCGGCCAATAAAAACGTCATCACGCGGAAGACCAAAATCAGCGGGACGCTTCAAGCAGGAAACATCCTCGAACTCGCCGATCGATAACGTGAGACCTAGCACAAGTGCCGGAATAGATATCATAAAGATGGAACCTCTGTAAAAGTTCTTAAGTGGAGCAAAATAGGCCGATTCATCAGAAGAAAACTCATAACCAAATCGAATGAGAAGAAAATGGAAATCCTTAAAACGGTGCTCTAGGATGTCATTAATTAGACCTGAAAAAAGAAATATTCTATTATTTAATAGAATAAAAAGAGGAAATAGATAAGAAAAAACAAAACAGGAGTTGTGTGGTGCCATAGTGATCTAATAGATTAAAGAACTTATAAACTAAGTGCAAAAGTTGTTGAATAATTTATCGATATTAATTAATTCGATATGTATGACGATAGTCGTTTGCGTTCATATTTGCTTATATAAACATACAGATATCGTAGTTAATCTTGGATGTTGTATTTATTAATGGTTAATAAATTATCAGATTTAGTTTCGAGGCAATCGGTGTTTATCAGCGGCAAGCCTTCCTCACTTAATGATCCCAGACACTTCGAAAATAAACGGAATTGACCAGAAAAAGATTGCAATAAATATTTCCAATACAAACTGACCTTTTCATGAAAAGGTAAAAAACTAGACAAGTTTGAATATTTTATGAAAATAATTTTATCTTAGAAAATAACAATATCCATTCCCGAGAGAACCAGCTCAAAAAAGTCATGAAATCAATTTAAATCGTCAAGTTTTCATTTTAAATATTTTGGTAACTTTAGATAAATCCAAATAAACTTATTGCTCGATAAGGTAATCTGGAAAATCATGAAATCAATGTAAACTTACAGCATAATACAGCGATGACGGAGAGTCCGAAATTATCGCAGGATCGATTGAAGCAGCAAAATTATGGGAAAAAAAAGATCGAAGATTCGAACATTATTCTTTGCATAAACCTATCCGAGTTCAAATAAATTAAAAGATGCATTAGCGTCAAGAGATGGTTGAAGTTGCAGGAAATTTATCAGTTGATAAAACCTGCCAGAAAAGCTGCGTTGCTTAAACGACTCAATGTGACACTGCTCAATGTGACTGAACAAGAAGACGTGCGCGAGCATTTTAAGAGATTCTTCGATACGGTAGAGCATGATAGACGAACGAGATGGAAATCGAAATAAATCCGGACTTGTTGACAGGGATACCGCTATATGTACAGTCTTCCGCCAAATTATGAAAACTTTCGTTGTCTGATAGATTCACGTGATGATTTACCATTACCAAAGAGGTTACGTATAAAATATGTGATGTTTATGAAAAGAGTTTAGAAAACGACGAAATACGAAAAATAGGCATAAATAGAAAAGGGAACCACTCAAATTTCGATGTCATCGTTGTCGGAAGATTAGATCTGGTGGTTGGCATGGTGGTTGATGATGACCCCGCTTGTCCTTGCCTAATCGCCTATAGAATCGAATGTCTGCATCGGCGCGTTTCGGGAAAAAGATTTAAAAATTCATTAGGTTATAAAGTATTTGTACTTTATTAAACAATACAAAACATTAACATTTAAAATGTTGCATTATATATTAATTTATGTGTTATAATTCTAAATAATTACTTTTGATTGCACTTTATCACAACAAAAATATATTTCTAAGAAACTTTCAATCACACATAATCGATCGCATCGATTATTCACCATTAAAAGTAGTTTAGTATAATACATTCTTATTCGTTACTTTGTATCATATAGTTTGTCACTTTCGCGTTTTCAACGCTTATCTATATATATAATCTTGAACAATAAGATAAATAATTTGTTGTCAGTGATCATAGAGAGGCGTCTTTGCTCTAACAAGTGATTATTGTTATCTAAGATAGATAATGGCAGAATGTTTAAAGTGTCCGTTACAAGGTTATAATTGATATTTTTCGTTAATAAATCGGGAAAGCTGCGCAATGGATTTTCTCCTTTTCCACGTCTCTCACTTTTTCTTCAAGCATGAATGTGGTTAATTTTTACAATGTATTCGACTTGACGCTAAAAAGTATGGATATATGTATATACAGAGATATCCGACCAATCCGACGAATGTTTATAAGATCGATATCCTGATTCGATGGCATCACCGAGTGGCGGTTGATGATGAGTAAAAGGAGGACTGGGACCGGAAGTCAGGATCAATTTGGTCGATATCACGATCAAAGATGCATCGCTGCTTTATTCTATTTCTATAAGGTTCAACTACGTATTAACACAGAACTGTATTGAAGTATTATTATTCTTCCTTTTTATATTTTAATAAAATCTATTACGACATGAAGTATAAAACTTATAGAATCTGAACATAATATAAATGTGTACAACGCCGAACGGTGGAACGCACTTGAGGCTCGAATTTATAGTCGATTCTCGCACTTGGCACTCAGCACTCAAATGCGTCCAACCGTTCCGCGTTCAATGTACACATTTATATTATGTTCAGATTCTAAAAGTTTTATACTTCATGTTTGAAAAAGAAGTGAAAGAAGCGGAAAAGGAGAAAAACTATTGCGCACATATTGCGCAGCTATTCCGCTACTCTCACTTCTTTTTAAACATAACAATGTGTACATTGGTGGGACGCACTTGAGTGCTGAGTGTCAAGTGCGAGAAGCGACTATAAATTCGAGCCTGAGTGCTGAGTGCCAAGTGCGTGAAACGACTATGGCTGGTATTCAGAGTCATTGCTTATTCTTAAGATCGTCTTAAGCATTTGCTTAAGTCCATGTTCCCTGTACAAGGACTGGAAATATGGGATAGACAGGGATAGCAAATTCTTAAGACGATCTTAAGAACAAAAAAAAACTGAGAGTGCTCAGTTCTTTGTTCTCAAATGAAGCCGGAACGAAAGTGCTGCATCTTGCGGCCAACTCGGAAAAGGGGTCCATCGTACGTCTTTTTAATAGTAATCGAAGAGAATCGGAGCTTTTCTTTTTACAATTTTATGGCAAGGTCTCGAACAACGCACGCCCGGTATGATGTGTACGACAAAATCCAAATTCAGTTGTTCGCATTTGCTAAGTGCATTTCTGGAAATTGTCCCTTGTCATCGGTTCGAGTGTTCTGCACGTGAAGAATTTTTAAGGATGACAAGGAAACGAAGGTCGGGTTTAGTTGAAAAATACAAACACATTTTCTGTAACGAACTTGTCCACCGAGTGGGGAAAGATTTTCTGGAAGAAAATCTTCCAGCGAGTGGTTATTTGGCTTTGCCTTGCGTCGCTAAACAGAACGGTGCGTGTTCTAATATACACAGAATATTTTAATATGTTCGTTATTTACGCGTAAGTGAATTATAATCCGAGAGCGGCAGTGGAATTGTTCCGCGAACGGTATTCCGATCGGAACTAAGAATTAAAATAAAAACGTGTATGCAAATTTTCAATTGCAAAGTGCAATGTGACTTGCACTTTACATGCCTCTTGCGTTTTTTTCGATCATTTAAAATGCCCATACATGCAGGATCATTCGCGTTCATTTTTCTAGCGGAAGAATATAATGAAAAAGGAGAATGCAATTCATTGCTCGTTGGTAATTTGGTATTTACCAAATACATATTACATACTTATATAGTACAGCGTAGATGAGAAATATTAAG